AATAGAAAAAGAAAAGAAAAGAATTGAATAGAATAAGAAGAATAGAATAGAAATAGAAAAAGAAAAGAATAGAATAGAACAGAATAGAATAAGAAGAATAGAATAGAAAAAAAGAAAAGAATAGAATAGAAAAATAGAATAGAATAGAATAGAATAGAAAAAGAAAAGAAAAGAATAGAATAGAAATAGAAAAAGAAAAGAAAAGAATTGAATAGAATAAGAAGAATAGAATAGAAATAGAAAAAGAAAAGAATAGAATAGAACAGAATAGAATAAGAAGAATAGAATAGAAAAAGAAAAGAATAGAATAGAATAGAAAAAGAAGAATAGAATAAAATAGAATAGAATAGAAAAAGAAAAGAATAGAAAAGAATAGAAAAAGAAGAATAGAATAGAATAGAAAAAGAATAGAATAGAAAAAGAATAGAATAGAATAGAATAGAATAGAATAGAATAGAACAGAACAGAACAGAACAGAATAGAATATGGAATGGAAATGGATATAGAATGGAACGGAATGGAATAGAATAGAATATAAAATGGAATGGAATAGGAATAGGAATAGAATAGAAGGGACCTTGACCTCCTGCTCAAGCAGGAGAAGGTATACCATTTCAGATAAGGGACTGTCTCTAGACTGTCCAGGTCCTGGTCTTATGGCCAAAATTGAACCCAAAAAGGTCCGTGGCTAAGCAAGACAGTGGTTCCGTGAGGCTTTGCCCCGTCTTACAACTTTTCTTGCCACGGTTGCTAAGCGAATCGCTGGCCGTTAAGTGAACCTGGCTTCCCCATCGACTTGGCTTCTCAGAAGGTCGCCAAAGGGGATAGCACGCCCCCCCTGGGACAGTGCGGCCGTCATAAATATGAGTCAAAACGTCGGAATTCTGATCATGTGACCATGGGGGGACGCTGCAACGGTCATTAAGTGTGAAAAACAGTTCATAAGTCCCTTTGTACAGTCCCTTAACTTTGCACGGTCACTAAAAGGTCGGTTGTAAGTCCAGGACCTCCTGTAAATCACTTCCAACAGATGACAAATTACAAAAGCTACTGCAGTTCCTTCTTTTGAACTATTCAATTGCAGCTGATGTGCCTCTGGGTTTCTTCCTATAATTTGAATTCCGGCTCCCCACAGCATAAATCCATGGGCGGGGAGCGAAATCTGTATTATATATTGGGGGGAGGGCCAATCTCTAATAATTGCCAATAAATTTGAAGCGGCACGCTTCAGGTAGCTCGGCAAAATTTAATAGCTCCTGTTTCCTCCACCACCACCACCACCCACAAAAAATTACATATTTTCTCGAATAATTCTATATAGCTGATCTCAATTAACTGGAACCCAGGCTAACTTCCTCACCTAAATTACATCCTTCAGCACCTGGCCCTCGCGTCAAATGAGCCCAAATATATTTGTGGCAATATAAACTTAATAATCTGGAAAGAAGTAAACACCATCCCCAGGGAAACTTATACAGCTCTCTTTCTCTGCTGTGCAAAAACCTCATTTTTAAGTCTTTTTTTTTTTTTTAAAGGCACCATAAAGACCAGAAGCCGAAACCTGTTTGGTCTGATCAGAAAGCGTGCACGAGACAGATAAAAAGAAAAGAAAGAAAAAAAAATTAGACACAGAAGGTTGCTAAGAATCCCATTTAAATTCTGAAATCCTGAACAGGCTATCGGCTCCCTTTCAGCGTTGTGTTGAAGTGAAGGCTGTATGCCAAAAAAGATAGAGCTACACGAAGTTGTTTGAAAACTAGGTGGAGGACAACCCCCCCCGAAAACACAGATAATTTAATGCTAATATTACAAACTTATATTAATTCACTAGCTGGATACCCGTGCTTCGCGACAAAACCATGTGATCGGGCTACGCGGGAGAAATTGGCTCAGTGCTGGTCGGTGATTGAAACACTTAAGGGAATATCGCTCCCGCTGCCTTGAGTCCCGAAGCAGCTTCCATAGGTGGAAGGCGTAGACATTTTGGTGAGGTACCGACGTTTAGTACCGTAAGGAGCCCCAGGCCGCTCCTGAGTGGAGGAGTGGAACGTCTGCCAGTTTGAACTGAGGTAATAGAATGTGAGGCAACTGGCAGTTGGAACAGAGTTCTTTTCAGGTGGGGAGGGGGAGTAGAATGTCTAAGCATCAGAGCNGCAGCAACGGTCGTAAGTATGAACCCGTTGCCAAGCGTGTGAATTCTGATCACGTGATCACGGGGCTGCCAAAAGGACCATGAGGGTGAAAAACAGTCATAAGTCACCTTTTTTAGTGCCGTGTCAACAGTAAAGGGTTGTAAGTTGAGGACTTCCTGTATTCTATTTATTTATATCCTGCATATCTCATCTTTCCTTTGGGAGATCAAAGGATCCTATTATCCCCAAAAATAATAATTCTCTGAGTGTGGATAGACTAAAAGACTAGGAGGGGATCAAACTTCATGGCTAAGAGGGAAAATCGAATTTAGATCTCCCCAATCATCGTCCTGTAAGCAATTCTGGTTTTCTAAGTTGCCGTTTTAAAAGTAACTTTCGATTAAGCTATTTTTGATTCTTTGCTGCTTCACCTTGAGGAAAAAAAAAGAGGAAATAAACATAATTCCACGGGACACTCAAGCTGGCGTACGAATAGAACGAAGAGCCGAACTCAAAAGTCTAATCATTCCCCCAATATATCACTACTGAAATGACTGAGGGGTGTGAATGTGTGCGGATTGGAACAAAATAAAGATAAATGAATCAGTAATAATTTGGACGTGTAATTGGACTGTGAATGCAAGGGGAAGGACGGGGCGGGGGGGGGAGAAAGAACGTTTTATGAATGTTAAATATTTGAACATGCTCCAGTCAACACTATAAACATTTTCACATTTCATTAATTTAACTGGGAATTCAAGCTTAGGAAATTTAATTAATATAAATTTTAAAACACACATACAGTTTAAGAGCTTAATCTTGCTTTCTCTTCCCCAGACTAAAGCTTCCTCTTGCACATATGTGCTAGTCGTTCCCGACTCTAGGAAGCGGTGCTCATCTCCGTTTCAAAGCCAAAGAGCCAGCGCTGTCTGAATATGTCCCCGTGATCATGTGGCCAGCATGACTCAATGCCGAAGGCGCACGGAACGCTGTTCTCTTCCCACCAAAGGTGGTCCCTATTTTTCTACTTGCACTTTTTACCTGCTTTCAAACTGTTAGGTTGGCAGAAGTTGGGACCCAATAACGGGAGCTCACTCTGTTATGTGGCACTCGGGATTCGAACCGCCAAACTGCCAACCTTTCTGATCGACAAGCTGAGCGTTTGAGCCACCCAGACTACCACCGTGGAAAAGATTATGCTTAAGAAAACCTGAAAAATTTAGCAAGGAATTGATATTTCTGCCCCAGCTTTTACTAAAAGAGCCGAGGTGGCACAGTGGTTAGGGTGCAGTACTGCAGGCCACTTCAGCTGACTGTTATCTGCAGTTCAGCGGTTCAAATCTCACCGGCTCAAGGTTGACTCAGCCTTCCATCCTTCCAAGGTAGGTGAAATGAGGACCCAGACTGTGGGGGGCGATATGCTGACTCTGTAAACCGCTTAGAGAGGGCTGAAAGCCCTATGAAGCGGTATATAAGTCTAACTGCTATTGCTATTGCTATTTTAAACCTATCAAGACAACCTGCAATGTCTTCGCTCAACAGAGTTTTGCAAAACCACGCATAATTTATTTATTTTTTTTGGGGGGGGGGTTCCTGGCTGAGGTGCTATCCCTTCTTGAGGCTCACCTGATCTTTTCTCGTCCAACATCAGGCCCGGGGAATCCATGTTGAGAAGAGCTTCGGCTGCTTCAATGGTCTGCATGGTCTCATCTCCATTATGGCAGGATGCTTCTACTAAAATGCAAGAGGACAGGGAGAGGCAGATGAAAGAGAACGAAAAGATATTTTCCGTTTGTGTTGTGGGCCGCCAGTGGCCAGCGGAGCTGGCAGCAGATTCGGACAGTGAGGAGATTGGGGAGGAAGATGGGCCAGTCCTGGAGTCTGGGGAAGGCTCTGATGAGGGCTCTGTGTCGGAGGCAGAGAAGGGGCCAGGGCCGTCTGACAGTTATCAGCTGCCTTCGGAGTTGGACAAGGCAGATTCACTTAACAACCGTGTGACTAACTTAACAGTGTCAGCGATTTGCTTAACAAAAGTCGTAAAATGGGGCCAGACTCCCTTAGCAAATTTCTCTCTTAACCACATAAATGATGGGCTCAGTTTCGGTTGTAGGTCGGCAACTATCTGCACTGCATATTTCAGCTAATTGCCTGATCATCACCGTCGTCGTTGTCTTTTAATGACCCCATAATCTCTTGCGCGACGGAGTCTGGGCAACTGAATGAAGCAAGCAGATTGTTTAACTGGCCGGATGCCCTTCCTGTCGCCAATGCGGAGTTTTGTTCAGCGGATGTATTCTCATCGTGCCCAGAGAGAGAGAGAGAGAGAGAGAAATACCTGCCTCTACCTAGGATCGAACTCACAGCCTCCTGATGGGGAGGCGAGAGCGCCCCCTCTAGGCCACACCAACACTCCCAGCGAATTATCTGATGGGCTCCCATAAATGCTATCAGGATATTGTCTCTAGACTTCCCCACCGCCAAAGGAAGGGCCTTAAGTCTGCATTACCGCTGACTTAAAAAATAAAAATATAAAGGAGCGGAGAAAAAGGAAGAAGTTATCGCACCAAGGAGACCCCACGGAAACCGGGGGATTTCTGAACAAACAGAAGCAGAGCCTGTAACCCCAAAATTGATAGGTCTCGCTTAATGAATTTGTGTCGCCTCCTGGAGTTCATCTGTCTTTGTCCTTTGAACAGGTAATACCCAAAGGGCATCGCAAAGTCGAATTTGAGCAGAATTTATAAGTGGGTCGCGATGCCGTCTATTCCAGAATAATACATGTTCAAACCCCTCAGGAGTCCAAGACTATTTTTCCAGCTCTCGGCTCGCGCAAATTGAGAAACTCCAATTTCATACTTTAAAAAAATCAAAACACCAACATAAATATGGATTTATGGAGCTCTGTTGTTTTTCTTAAAACAAGCAGAGTTAAGCATTCAGGCCCAGTGGGCAAATATGGTTCCTCGGTGTAAGCATAGAGGTCTTTTAAAAAGGGTATCTTCCCTCCCTTCTCCCCTCCCTCCTCTCTTCTTTTCTTCCTCCCTTATTGCTTTCTTCTTTCCTTCCTTTCTCCTTCCCTCTCCTCCTCCTTCCTCCCACTCTCTTCTTCTTTCCTTCCTCCCATTACTCCCTCTCTTCTTCCTTCCTTTCTTCTTCCTCCCTCCCTTCCCTTCCATCCTGCCATTCCTCTCTCCTCCCTCCCTCCTCTCTTCTTTCCTCCCTCCCTTCCTCCCTTCTTCCCTCTCCTCTTCCCTTTCTTCTTCCTTCCACTCTCTTATTCTTTCCGACCTCCCTTTCTCCCTTCCTCCCTCTCCTCCTCCCTTCCTTCTTCCTTCCACTCTCTTATTCTTTCCTCCCTTCCTTTCTCCCTCCCTCCTTGCTTTCTTCTTTCCCCCCTTCCTTCCTCCATCTCTTCCTCCTTCCTCCCTTCCTCCTTCCTTCCACTCTCTTCTTCTTTCCTTCCTTTCTCCCGCCCTCCTTCCTCCCAATACTCCCTCCCTTCTTCCTTCCTCCCTTCCTCCTTTGTTCCTTCCTTCCTCCCATTCCTTCTTCCCTCCCTCCCTCTCTTCCTCTTTCCTCCCTCCCTCCCTTCCCCTCTCTTCTTTCCTTCCTTCCTTCCTCCCTGCCTGCATGCTCTTCCTTCCTCCTCCCTCCCTCCCTCTTTTCCTTTTTTCCTAGCAAAGAGCAAAAAACGACTTTTATTCTCGAAATGCTGTTTTCTTTCTTTGCAGTTCTTCAACACCTGAAGAACCCTGTTGCAGCAACTGTCTGTTTCAGCTACACAAACAGTGTTAGGTAAAGAAATATATCTGGAAAGGATGACCCAACGCCTCGTGGATTGTCTCGTGGCTGTTAGAAATGGGGGACGGGAGGGGAGAACTAGAGCTGATAGACATGCTGTTTTCTTTTCAAAACCCTAAAAATATTTTCAATAAACAACTTATTCACTTTAACCTATAAATAAATATCCTTGTCTGGTTTTGTTTTTTTCCCTACTGACTAGCCAGTCAAAAAAATTGTTTTTTTTTTAAAAAGAAAATTAAGTCTGGTGGGGGATTTTTAAGACAGGGTCGACTAATCTAAGAATATACTATTTTGGAGCACACCGAGAGAATAATATTTAGAAGGAACTGAAGGGGAGAGGCAGAGAGGGAAGCTAAGATGACAGTGTCCCAAACGGATATTGACAAAGGTACTGGTAATTCAGCTGATTTGTTTTCAAACTTTAATAGCTTCCTATTTAGAAAAAAAAAAAGCTACTGCCAAGAGAATAAAGTCAGCACGACTTAACAGGAAGAGGAAACAAAATCAGAAGACCCCCCTATTACCATTCTATGAGCAGACCCCAACGCCTGGGAAGATGATCAAGGGGTTGTGACCCTCAAAAGTAGGTGGGAAATGCCCATCCGTCTTTTTCTTGTTTTTAGTGATAACAGAATAACAGAGCTGGGAGGGACCTTGGGGGTCTTCTAATCCAGCCCCCTGCTCAGGCAGGAAACCCTTCTCTCCTCCTGCTCAAAATAATAACAGTTGGATGGGACCTTGGAGGTCTTCTAATCCAGCCTCCGGCTCAGGCAGGAAACCCTTCTCTCCTCCTGCTCAAAATAATAACAGTTGGATGGGACCTTGGAGGTCTTCTAATCCAGCCTCCGGCTCAGGCAGGAAACCCTTCTCTCCTCCTGCTCAAAGTAACAGAATAACAGTTGGATGGGACCTTGGAGGTCTTCTAATCCAGCCTCCGGCTCAGGCAGGAAACCCTTCTCTCCTCCTGCTCAAAGTAACAGA